CCACTACCCTGCGTGTGTAAAGGGGGGGGGGCGTCTCTACGAGACACAGATCTACTGCCGCATACCCCCGTGTGGGTTCGAGAAGCTCATCACTCGATGCCATTCAGCTATGAAGTTTTCAATAAACAGTCGAACGAAAGCCGACATTTCGTGGATTTTAAAAGTACTTTTCTATGCTGAGGAGAATGTAGGCCTTTTGGTCACAGACGCTCTTACATAAACGCACATACGATGCACAGTGCTCGGTATTTTCGAACACAGAAAAATAAATATCTGCAGAGTACACAACACGCGTAGTTTTATTCCACGATGCTAAATAGCAAATTGGGTCAGTTGCATAAGCATTTCCTGAGATCAAATCATATATAAACACATACAAAAGCTGCTTACAGTAATACTCTCCTTAATACTCTTTTGAATAGTTATTAAATTTATTTTTCCTCACTAGAAACATGTTCTTACCTATAGGAAATATGTACAGGTTTACTTTTTCTTATATCAAAACGGGGTTGGCAACTCTTCATGAAATCTTACGTCTCCTCGGCTTTTATTTACCCACAAAGGAAGAGTCAGGAGATGTTAGGCTTATTGTTAACTTTAGATTTAGGGTATAGTGCAATACTGGCTTATAGTTCAGTAGTAACTATCTGGTCTGGCATTCTTAAGCCACTCTCGATTGTGAAACTCAATGAGCACGTACAAAACATGCGCTATCCAGACGCGAAGGCACCTAAACTAATGGCCACGGGGTTGCCTCGGTAAATGTGAAGACATCCATGAGAAAAGGCAATCGTGTCGCAGGGGAACCATCTCTAAGTGAGGAATAGATTCGCTACAGGACACCATACAGCTAGACAGTTGCAATACAGAAGAAACACTCAATACACATACACATGTTAGTACACACATATACACACACGCATATATACACATCACACGCATGTTAACTGATCGAGATGTATTCAGTCGGCTAGTGTTAGTGTTAGTTATGGCGTACACACACGCATATATACCACATACACACACGCACTATATATATTACATACACACACGCACTATCTCGATTGACACATACACACACGCATATATACACCATCACACACACGCTTATATACCACATACACACATGCCATATAACACACATACACACGCTCGCTGCGCTCAGTTCCTTACTGTGATACACGATATCGACGAGCACGTGCTAGTATATACACATACAGTCATCACACTTGTACACGCGTGTCTAATACTAGCCTACGATATCACGACTGGTCAATTGTGATTACAAACACACACGCATGTATATAACACATACAGGTCATACACACACGCATATATCAGCGATCGATTTAGTACTGTAGCATGTGGCGCATATGTGTGCGTGAGTATGCTGCATCGGAGTGAGCACACGCTTGTGCTGAGCTCGTGTGTATACACATACACACAATGCATACTACTACACATACACACATGCATATAATCATAGCATAGACATTAGTCAATGCGTTCACACTTGCATATATACATGCGCGGATACACACACTGGTTAATGTATTCATTGGTGCTAATGTCCTCACCAACAACTCAGTCATACAGCCTCGTGACACAGTGCACATATGAGCATCAACTGCGTGATACACGAAAGCAAGCGCTACAAAAGATGCTATAATGAGCATGACATCTGCCTAGCGGAAGTAGTGAACCTACTTTAGTAGCTCTGCCTAAATCTTTCGTTGTTAATTTTAACGTCAGTGTGAACCTTCACGTTGTCGCATGGCGGCTAGACTCGGCTAGTGTTTCCGTGGTCTTACGCGAGCGCCCTCATGTTTACGTTTCGTTTTGTCGATTTACTATCGCTCTCACAGCTGATGCGAAACAATGTTCATTCACAAGTTCATTCACAAATGGCAACAAGACGCCGAAACACGCCCGAACAAGTTTGCTTATATTCAAGTTGCGCAATTTAATTGGTGTCGTTGCGTGAGACGCGTTGTAGCCTGCATACTCGAGACCTGCTTTCATTGTTAAATACTTAGCTTAGTAGGTTACCCTGCGGGTACGTTAAGCCCGATGCGCCCACCTAATCATTAGAATCTCGACTCTAGTTCGCTTACTCAGAGCATAAGAAAATCGATAGCAATATATCGCTCCCCCCCTCTCAGGCTAACATAATGAGTTACCATAAAATTGGACTCATAATACGAGACAATTTATCGCGGCTACCGCGCGCATCATACACACTGTGAGGGTGATATTTTACAATGACGCATGCGCATCAATCCCTAGTCAAATTTGAACTCTGGCAGACTCGAATATCTCCTGCCGTCACACGTAGTCGACGCAGCTGTCAAAATGGTTAACACTCATAGCCGTCATGCTCTTACTTGAGCACAGCAGTAAAAGAGTGAACGTCATGGCAGCTCGAGTCGCACTACGCGTGGCTTTATACAGATTCAGGCTGATTATTATCGGTCTGTGTCGTCTGTATGTCTATTTCATTTGCTACCGTTGTTCTCTCTTCGCGAGTGATATCTTTGTCTCACTCAAGATTGTTGACGTTGTAGGCGTTGTGAGCTGCTTTGAGTGTTCTTAATGTAAATATCAAGTGAGTTTAATTGCCGAGTGCTGCTTATCTGCCTCGGTAGTGTTAGAATTTAAACCCGCAGGTATTGTGTGTGAGGCGTGTCGTGCGTCGTTGTGTGCGTCTGCGCTTGGCGTGCGTGCCTGTGCGGTGCGTGCCGCTCAGCCGCTGCCGCTTGGTGTGTGTGTGCGCTGCGTTTGCGTGCCGTGCGGCACAAGTGCGAAGTTTGGTGTTTTACCTGCTTATCAATAGATATACACAAAGCTTCTTAAAGTAATCCTCTCTTCTACTCTTCTTGGTGAACTACTACGTACTTTTAACGTAAGCTTATTAAGAGTGTGTATTTCAGTGTTGCCTGTCGGAGCTTCTCGAAATTTTTAAACGCTTGAGTTTTTGAGTGTGAATTTGGTGTCACCTGCTTGAGTCTTCGAATTTTTAACGCAAGCATCGAATATTTAACGTGAGTTTTTGAATGTGGAAAATTCGGTGTCACCTGCTCGCAGGCTTTCGCTTCTTTTCTCCTCCCCACAATTTTAACGCGAGAGCCATCGACATTTTTAACGCTGAGTTTTTGAGTGTGAAATCAGGTGTCACCTGCTCGAGTTCTTCGCAATTTTAACGCGAGCATCGAATTTTAACGCTGAGTTTTTGAGCTGTGCAAATTCAGTGCTCACCTGCTCGCAGTTTCTCGAATTTTAACCGCGCCAGCATCGCCAATTTTTAACGCGATTTTGAGCTGTGAATTCGCCATTTTCCTGTTCGAAGTTCGAAATATAACTGTGGCTGGTTTCGCAATGGAGCATTTTCTCGCTTGTTACCTGTTCGACGAGCACGGCTTCTCGCACGCGGCCTCCGTCTCCGCGTCTAATGCGCATCCTCGCGCGGGCCTGCCTGCTCGCCAGCCTCTCTCCCTCACCCGCCCCGCAAGCGATCTTCCTTCAGCCGCCTGACCGACCGATGCCTCCTTGAGCTGCGTCGGCGTCTTGCCTCGATAGCTCTGCAGTTGCTCTGACAGCGATGCCTCAGCTCCACGCCTGAACGGGATGCACGCAGAACGCCCGGCGATATTGCGATTGCACGTGCACGCTATGCATGGGCGCCGCACGCATATAACGCGCCTTACAACAAACAAAAGCACGTCAACGCACGCACGCACGCACATGCACGCGACACAACACACACACACACACACACACGTGCGCAGAGGCACGCTAACGCACGCATGCACGCGCACACACACAGCACACACATATACACGCTACAAAAAAAGCATGCCACGCACGCACGCCACACACGCACGCACGCACCGCACGGCACGCTACGCACGCCTACGCACACACGCACGCTACCCACACGCACACGACGCACCACGCACGCACACACACACACCACACCGAGATTACTCCTGACTGTCTGTTAACTTGTAAGTGCGCTGAACATTATTAAACAAGTTATCAGACCTCACGTGTTCGGTAAAAGCCACTACAGCTCGCGCTCACACTGAGAAATTCATGGCAGTGTTTTGCTATACCACTACCAGCACCACACACAACCCAGTTCGTCTTATTCTAGCTCTACCACACCACGTATAAGCCGCAGCCTGACTCAAATACACTTTCATAACTTTGAAAAAATTTACAATTCAGTTGAAGTGCTCAATACGATAGGCAAGGCATCTTACATGAATCATGACTGGCTTACGCCTACTGTCACTTATCCCAAGTACGATAGCGAGTGACTTCCTACTGCCCTGATATTATCACAATACACCTGTCCAGCCGAAACTGATTAGCCACAGGTTTGATGACAGAGCCGCCGCGGCGCGCTACCTGAATGTTTTTCTTGGCTGCTTCGAGGCGACGAGTGCAGGCTGTGCGTGCTTCTCAGCGCCTCTTTCTGCAGTTTAGACTGCTCATGCCTCACTTATTGCCAACCATCTCCTCGCGCTTGCGCCACCTGGTCGAGAAGAATCAGCAAATTTTCATATTTTCAGTGTTATTCCATAGTGCTCGCATCTGACCAGCATCGTTACACACCAAGGGAACTAATGCAATACGCAGACAGATGCACCTCGATCACTCCATCCACTGACACGACAGATACCACAAGGATTACGCGTGCCAGATAGATCTTATTTTTGGTTAATGTCTTTTAGTACACACCAACAACAGAGACAACGTCTCTATAACAACATTGTATCATGAGCACTTACTCAGCGATCTATTAGTAACATCAAGAAACCGCTGGCTACACATTCCCACAAGTAAACTGCTAACTTCGTAGTAACCTTCACTACAAAGCTAACCGTCGCTTTTTAATGCTTCCACACATGGTTACTACACAGCTTCTGCAGATTTCAGTGTTCTGCGCTCTGTTGACGCTGATGTCATCTCTACCTCATATCACCAAGCTGCTCTGGCATCCAAGATCGCGAGTTCTCAAGCATTAGTCGGCGGTGTGCGCTTGGGCTTTCTCAAACCGTCCTGCCACCTTCTGACTTGTAGTTCACAACAAGGTTGCCTTGCAGGATCATTCAACCTTTCAGAACAAGCAGAAAGACACACATGTACGCACGAACTGTAGGGCACAGATCTAATGGAATCCACGCCAAAAGAGTGCCTGATATTCATGTACTTGCCGCCACGGCAGGAAATTCCAATTCAAGTGCTTACCCCTAGAACCACTACATATAGATACATAACGATATACAGTACCTATAATACTGATATGTTAATATATAGGTCATAATCTATAATACAATATGAAGGATAAATATAAATACTTTCTCTAACCTATATAGGAACAGCCCTGAACTTTACAAACTTAACGCCGCTGAACTTACTAGCAAACAATTAAAACCACATGACCTTTACTACGTCGGCGCGTAAAGTCTTTCCGGCTATATCCCTATAATACACTATAAATACGTACACCTTTATTAATACGGTACAATAAGCTAATAGTGATAATACAGTCACAATACTTATTTAATCCGTGACGCACCTCTTGTTGGTTGGCCCCTATGGACAACTGCCGACTTCCTGCCCGATCCACCTCGCGTGTAGACTGACGCCTGCCGGACGGCTCTCGTCCAGCTGCTCCTGCGGAGCTGCCTGAAGCGGGCTGCTCGACGTCTCGCAGACTAGAGTCCGAGCTTCCGCGTATCTATCCTGCCCAGTCTCAGCACACTCGTTCAGATTTGCTGCTGGGGCTGCTCGTCACTCAGCAGTGCTGCTGAAGGTCGTCGATATGCTGGCCGGCCATGCTTGACTACACTGCAATGTGGTGTTACAGAGACATCCCTTACGCCCCTCTGATTTATTAGTCCTGTTACGCTATGATAACGTACGTGTATGTTATATATTATATATTTGTGTATACTAAGTGAGTTGTGGTGCTATGAGATATGTTCACTGCTGCGTACACTGCACGCTTGAAACGTTACAGCAGAGACCTTACTTCTTTGCCGATTTATTGAATATGCCTGTTGCTTGCCAACAGATGAGGATCTCATATGCTTACGTTGATACACTGCTTGATTACAATGTTATGTATTGACACTGTAATGTTTATTTCTACTGACTTATTTTATTGCGTGTGTAGTTGACTGTGTCTATGACTATGATTGTCATGGTGTGTGTAGCTTTGACTGACTATATTCTAGACTATATGTATTGCATAGACTGTGACTATAGTCTATGTATGTATTGGCTGTCACCATCGACTATTATTAATTGATTGTATCTATGACTATGGACTATGTCTAAATGACTACTGTAATGTATTTGCCACTGCTCAACATGACTATTTAGATCAATCGACTGTATTCATGACTACGTTAGGTGAGTGACTATGTTCGTATGACTATGTATGTATTGACCTGTCACCACTGTACTATTTATTAATTGACCTGTAATCTATGCAGCTACGA